TTTGTGTCAACAGATCTGTGTCTGTGCCAACGGGGGCTTATGTATCGATCAACGTCTACCTGGAGATTTTCTAAGTAATTTCTAAGAATAGATAAATTATTTTGTTTTAAGATTTTTTTGCGTCTGACAAGATTTTTATCAGATCATTGCATGATAACAATAGTTATCATAAAGATATTCTATTGTGTCGTTAATTGTATTTTTAGATCTACAATATATTGTGTAGATCATAGTTTTCTAATTTTTATTGTAAAATACTCATTCCTGTTCTGAGTAAATTTGTCTATTTCATAGGAGTAGATTTGGTTTGGTATCTTGCTCTATATTTTTGGTCATATCCATAATTCATATAATATAAATATTTTACCTACTGTTATTACTATGCTTAATTTATCTTTTGGTTCAAATATAGATAAGTATTTTATGTCATAATGATCATTACTTATTTTATCTACTCCTTGAAGTTGTTTCTTGTATTTCTTAATAATTTCTTCTAATTTTTCTTTATAGTTTTCGAATCGTAGAATGTCTATTCTTGTAGTCTATTCTGGTTGCTTATTATGTTTTTCAAATTCTTCTTCTGTTATAGCTAATGTTTCTTTTAGTTCTTCTTCATTTTCTAATGTTTCAATATCTGAATATAGATATTTTACATCAGGTATCGATAAATAGTATGCTTGATATTCTTCTTGATAGTATGCTTCTATTTCTGTGAATATTAACTCTATATTTTGTTGGAATATAGGTATTAATAATAATTGTATAATTTTTTCATATATATACTATTGCCATAGTTTTGCTTTATCTAGTTCTGTTTGTTCTGGTATTATATATTTATCCACTAGATATATAAATATTGTTCTTTTGATTCTGTATTTTGCTTTTAAGGTTGGACAATTTCTTTGTAACGTCCATTTCATAGTACTTAATGCTGTTTCTGACCAAATATTTATTAATTTGGTATTATTTAATACAATGTTAGCTTTTTTAAAGGTTTCTCAAAGTATGGTTGCTTTTGCAGTTTCACATGCCTTTCTATTTCTGTCAAAATTTTCTTTTTCTCACATTTCTTGATTATGAAAGTAATATAGTTTCTGAGGATTATTTCGTAAGGATAAACATATTTTTGTTTTTCCTTCTTTTTTCTTGAATAATGCTAATTATACTATTCTTTATAGTAGTAGGTCTATATTTTGTATTAGTGAATCTACTATTAATTGAAGATTTCTACATTTTCTACAGTTATCAAAATAATTAGTTCTATTATCATCTTATGTTTCTTTATAATCATGGAAAGTTGTATATTCTTTACAATTTTTGCATTTCCATATCCATTCTGATATACTTGGGATTTGTGTTGATATTAATTCCATTTTGAATTTTGGTTTGAATTTCTTGATTTATTTCTTCAATGATTTTCTGTACTTGTAATTCTATTCGATATTTTGTTGAATTATATTTTTTATTTTTAGCTTGTTTTCTACAACTTTTACAGGTTTTAAATGCTTTGCCAATAGAAGTGTATTCAAATTCTTCTTGTTTTTGTATCCTTTTACACCTTGAACAGCATTGCTTTCTTGGTAAACTTTGGATTTTTTTTAATTTTTCTTCAAAGTTTCTTTTTGAATATGGTTTTTGATTTTTTCTTTTTAGTCAACAATTATTACAAGTTTTATATATTTTCTTGATAGTTCTTTAAATGCTTTTGGATATTCTAGTATAGTTTTACAACTTGTACAATATTGACTCGAAGGTTCATTTGTAGTATACTTTGTTATTTCATTGTACGTATAAGAATTCGTGCCAGATTTTTATTTCTGCTTTGTTATTTGAATAATCAAAGTTATCAAAGAATATTAAAATATAATAGTCTTTTTCTGATACAGTTGCTATAAAGTTTTCTGATTCTTTAGATTTTATAATATTAGTTAATTGGGCTGCCGTCAATAGAAATCAAGCAGATCTACATTTGAAAAAAAATTAATGCCTTGTCTTTCACAGCTCATATCTCGACAAATTTTAAAGCTATGTTGATGTTTTAATATTCAAAAGAAAGCTTACGATCTAAGCTTTCTTTTGAATATTAAATCATCAATATAGCTTTAAAATTCATCGAGATATGAGCTGTGAAAGTTAAGGCATTAATTTTTTTTTAAATGTAGATCTGCTTGATTTCTATTGATGGCAGCCTAATTTCTTGTTTCCAATAAATTTCCTTGATGTATAAGAATTTGTTGTGATTCTTTTGCTGTAAGGTTTACTACAAAGTGTTTAATATCTGTAATTTCTTCTCTTAATAATAAATAAGGATAAATTTCTTTATCGTATAATATAAATATTTTATTTCTTGTAATTTTTGATGCTTTTTCAAAGTGTCCTAATGATGTAGCAATAATGCATATTACTACATTTCTGTGTTGGAATATTGATTCTTTGAATAATCATATTTTTACAGTTATTTGTGATTTAATTATAGATATAACTATAGTTTCTGGTATGGTATGTATAGATTTAAATAGTTTTTTTATATGCCACTCTAAATGCTTCAGTGATAAGTGTTGTTTAAAACTTTTTACGTAATAATATATATTTACTGGTTTTTTAAAATATACTCTATTAGTTTCTTTATCAATTTCTGTTAATGATGTTGTCATATTAGTATTTATTTGTAAGTTGATGTTGGTTTTGATATTAATAATTGTTCCACTTTTTCTTTCTTCAAGAGGTTCATTATTTGATATTCTACTTGTCGTATTAATTTCTTTAGTTCACTATGATATTTTCCCAAATATAGTTGTTGAATTATCTCTGTTTCTTTTCTTTGATAGTTTTCTGTTTGGTTAAGATATCAGTAAAGATTTATATAATATTGTAATAATTCTTCTATTTCAGATTCTTGTTTTATTAATAGTGCCTAAATTGTCTTGTAAATAACTGTTCAACAGTTGGTTTCAGGTTTTCGTATCTACAATAATTAAATAGACTTTCTGATATAGTTTCTTTGACTAATAATTTTATCAAGTCTAAATACTTTGTTTGGTAATATTTTCTTTTACTTATGGTGTTTTCTACTTTGCTTTCTTTCAATTTTAGATAATAATAATAAATAGGATTATTTAAAGTAATCCAGTTCTTATATTTCTTATTTTTGTAAGCATTTTTAATTGTTAATAGTTGTTTTTCTAAGATTTCAAATTCTTTTTGTATTTTTGATAATTTGTATTTTTCTGAAATAATATTTAAATGGTTGAATCCTAGTTTCAATTCGTCAAGTGTTAGAATATGTTTATAGTGAGGTCTTTCAGAGTATCAAAGTCTTTCTTTTAAAGGTAATTGTTTCTTCAAATAGATATATTTTTCTGTTAAATATTCTATTATATTATTGTAATTATTTTGATTATTTAGTTTTATTAATTCCTTAAGGTTCGTGTTTTAATAATTCTTCAAAAGCTTCAATTCTTGCTAAATAGTTTCCATTAATTTCTACTTCTTTAATTCTGTAAATTCTTCTATTTGTTCTTGCCAGAATGATAAGCTGATGTTCTTTGCTTCAAAAATCTTTTAATTTTCTCGTTTTTTTTCTTCAAATTCTTGTAATACATTTTTGTATTCTTCAAGAATCTTTTGATATAGAGAGATTATAGTTTCTTAGTTTGGGTTTTCTTTTTATAGTTTATAAATTTCTTGATAATATTTGTTAAAGATTTCTGTAGATAATCCTTTTAATGAGTTTTCTTTAATTTCTTTAATAGGTATTGTTATGGAATTATATTTGAGTCTTTTAGCTTTCTTTCGTAGGTCTTAGATTTTTAACCAATTAACAGTATTATTTTTATAATTTCTTTTTTTCCAAATTTCTCTTAATGAAAGATATAAAATTCCCAATTTATATTTTTTTTTTACTTCGATTATAGCTTTTTCTTCTTGAGTTAGCATTAAATGCTTTTTTTTCTTTGTTTCGAAGGTGTTTTTTTATTTTCTTATATTTCTTCAAGATACTTAAGTTCTTCTTCTTCGTCTAAGACTATTGAAGCTCCTTCTTTATATAATATATCTTCTGCTATAAATGTAATATTATATAATACCGATTTCAAAGATATTGGAATATCATGACTTAAATTGATATTACATATTTGTTTAATTGTTTTGCTATTACTGTTAAAGTAGTTTTGTATTTTTGTACTTCTGTAGTAGTTCTAGATTGGTAGGAATCAAATCTTATAAGTATTATTGCTAATTGTAAAGTTTTTAATACTAATCCTAATCTTAAATCATTTGTAGAGTTACACCTTGCTATTAAATTTGCAAGTGTTACTTCAATATCTAAACAAATTTCTTCTACTAGTCTTTGGAATATTATTTCTTTGTATGGATTTATTTCTTTAAGATAAGTATTTTTTGGTTCTGAGTAATAATTCCAAAAGTATTTAAATAACCAAAATTGAGGATTTTCTGATACTGATCTATTTATTTGTTTAAGATATGTATCCCAAATTCTTGAATCTTTACTTAATATTTCTGATTCGTCAGCGTAATAGTTTTCTGCTAAGATTTCAGTTGTAGATTTCTTTTGGTAATAAATAATTATTCTATATTTAATATAGTAAATTTCTTTCAAATATAATAATTTTTGGTTATTAGCTCCATTTTTTGAGGTCATACTAAGTCTCTTAGTTTTCTTGTTGTGGTACTAATATATTCAAGGTTTCATTTAATCCTTCTACTTCTAGTAGTAAATTATCAGTTTCTAGTAAAAAAGGTAATATATAATCTATTGTAAGATTTAATATTTGAAATAATGCTTGTATTTTCATTTTTAATAATATTCTTTGCACTGCTTGTATGTTTAAAGATATTAATTCAAATAAGTATAAGAATTTAATATTTCTTCGAATATTTTTAAGTGCTTCAATTGCTGTATTTCTTCTTGATATTATTATATTTTCAATTGCAAAATGTTCTTCTAAATAATTATTAACTACTCATAGTAGATATGTTGTTTATAAGTTTTCTATTTCAGTTGTTGTCACTTTGCTAGCAATTACAGCTTCTTGAATTTTAATTAATTGTTGTCTAAGTTTTCTAATAAATTGAGTAAGAGTTATATCTATTAATTTTTTCTTGTTAATATTGTTATTTCTTTTAGTCGTATTATAGTATTTGTGACTATTAATATGGTTACTACTAGGGTTGGAGGCATGGCAAATTTTTGGGGCATGCTTTTGTAAAGGGCATGCCTCTCTATGCCTTGAGCATGCCCCTCTAGATATAAAAGGGATCTGTTCAACTCACTGAAAATTACCAACAAGTTTATTTTACCAATAGTTTATTTCATTGAAGCTCATTTTATAGACAAAAGTAATTCTAGCCAATATCATTAGGATTATAAAAAAAAACTTGTTGGTGAAATGAGCTTTAGTAACTAGACTGTTGGTAAAATAAACTTGTCAGTAGTAATACAAATTGTCAAAAATTTTGCAATCGATTAGTTGTCAACTAAACGATTATTCGATTTTTAATCGATTATTGTTCGATTTTTATTCGATTTTAATATAAGTTGCCAAAAAATTTTCAATCAATTAATCGATTAGTTGTTAACTAATCGATTTTTTGATTTTCAATTTGTATTACTACTTGTCAGTGAATGAAATAATATAGATAATAAAAGTATATACTATAATAAGATATTTGTATTCTAATTGGTTAATTGCTAAAATAGCCAATCATATGTTAGCAATAGATCACATAACAGGAACATGCCTTTTGGTTAAAAAGCATATACCTAGGCATGCCCCAAAGGCATGCCTTCAACCTCTGTGCCTCCAACTCTAGTTACTACTATTACTATTGATATAATTGTAAGTTGAATTATTTGGTTAAGTTGTTTAAATAGTTGTTCAGATGTTGCTAATGTAATATAAATATTGCTTATCCAAGTTATTGTTATATTAAATACTGATATTGTTCGATTAATAGTTACGATCTTAATAATTTCCTTCTTGTGTGTTTTCACGATTGCTTGTTTCTTTATTTTTCTTGTTTGGTTCTCTTTTAGATTGCGATAAATATACACAATCTATATGTTTCTTTAAACAACGTAAACAGATGTTTTCTTGATTTTTTGAACAACGTACTTTCTTTAATTAACAATTTGTATAGGCTATAGTTGCTTTTTTAATATTTCTCATTCGTATATTATAAATTATAGAATTGTTTGTTTTGTTTCTTGGGAATTTTTTCTATGTTTATATAACTTTTTCTCCTGTATATTATAAAGTATTACATATATTTTAATATATTTGTATTGTATTTTAATCTAATCTTTCAGAATTTCTTCTTGAAAATTCTTAGAATTTATGAAGATCTTTATCATGAAGTGATAGAGAATCTAATTCTGTTTTGGTTAGTGCATAATGATTCAATATTTGTGCTTTTTTTAGAGCTTCTACACATTTGGGGTGGTCAAATTGAAGGTTATAAAATGCTTGGTATCATGAAGTGGTTGCTTGTCTTTTCCATAGATCATAGTGATTATAATTTAGTATTTGTTTCACTAATTGATTTTCTTCAAGTGCTTCTACTTTTCTTTTCAAATTTCAGACTTGTTGTTTTAGTTTTTTATTTTCTTCTCTTAATGCGGCTATATCTAACAGGTTTCTTCTAGGTGCTAGTCAAAATCCTGACAAACAGAATCCCGACAGGTTATAATCCTGACAAAAAAATCCCAACAGTAAAAATCCCGATAACTAAAAATTATTAAGTTCATTTAAGTTAGGGTAGGGTTAGGTGAGTATATAAGTTAGGATTAGGGTATGCTTAGATTAAGGTTAGGGTTTAGGTAATTATATAGTAAAATTGCTCAAATGAATATTTTTTTGATTGTCAGGATTTTTGTTTGTTGGGATTTTTTTGTCAGGATTATGGCCTGTTAGGATTTTGTTTGTCAGGATTTTGACCCAAACCTTTTCTTCTACTTAGAAGAAAGAATAGTCTTTATATAAGTATTTCTAATTGATTTAACTATTCTTTAATACTTTTATTTTGGTTTTAAAATTTATGATTATTTAAAGTTTCATTATCTGTCATTCCTTTATCTTCATCAAATATTGATTCTTTTTCTTGAGATATATCACTTGTTTCTAATTTTGATTCATTATTGTATATAGGGTTTGTTATATTAATGAGGTCTTTTATTCTTTTTTTTTTCATTAATATATTATATGTATGTTCTGATAGTTCAAAGTCATGAGGATAAAATTCTGATTTTTCAGATTCAAAATGATCTTGATCTGTTTGAAGAGTTTCGGTTATAATAATAGGGTTCTTTTGGATTCCAATTAGCAATGTTTTATCTTCTGTAGAGTCTTTTCATTTTAATAATTTTCTTGAAATTTCTTTGCATTCTTTACATTGTTTTATAATTATTATGTTTAGTAATTGTTCTATTCTTTTTCACTTATTTTATGAATTATTTACCAACCATTTTGGTTTTTTCTTCGTATTTCATTTTTTTGAGTAGGGCATGCTTTTTCAGATTTTTTATTATATTTAGTTACCTTGCAAATTTGGCTCTAGTATATTGTACAATTATTGTACTAAATATTTTGTTTTTTTACTGTATCTGTTTCTTTTCTATAATTTATAGTCTACATTATTTTGACATTTTTCTAATTAACTTTGGCTTCTTCTTTTTGTATACCCATTAACTTTTTTTGTATATCTTCAAAATATTCTGGACATGTTTCTCCTAGTAGGTCTTTAGATGAATAAGTATAATAATATTCTGAACATAGTTAAGTTAGTTTTTTTTTTCTGTAATTATTATAGCGTTAGTTCTGGTTATGTCTATAGATCGTCTTTTTTTTTTGTTCTCCCTGTTAAAATGAGGCTTTGAGGGCTTGATTTAAAGATGTTTTCATTACTTCAAATGTGCTTTTATCTTCTGAATAAAAAGTTTCTTCTCTATAGTATTCTTCTTTTATAATATTATAATTTTGATAGTTATATCTATTGGTAATGGAGTTAAATTTCATTTGCCTTATTATTTCTTGATTTTTGGGAGTGGTCTATTCTTCTTAAGAGTGTTTTTTAAGAATTCATAGAGTCTTAGTATTTTCAACTTATTTATAGCTTCATTATTATATATACTTCTAGTATATTCTTGAATTCTTCTTGTTACTATTGCTCTTGTAGAAAATTTATGACAATAAAATATTTCAAATGCTACTTTTTCTTCTTTGTCACAAAAAATAATTATTAGTATAATCGTTTGTCATATGTCTTTTCCAATTTTCTTTTGAACAAATTGTATATTTTTTAAAGTTAGTTTTTTCTAACTTAGTTTCTTTATATTGTATTGCTTGTATATTATCTATTAATAAATGTTCCATATATTCTTAGTAATATTGTTTACAAACAATATGATTCTTCAATTATTATATATAGTAGTCTAATAGATTAATATATGTTCCTTTGGATAATAAAAATATATCCTTAGTAATAATACTATAGTAGTTTTTATTACAACAGTGATAAATATTTTTCCCAGTTTTTCTAACTTTTTTTTTAATGTATCTGCATTTTAAAGTTTCATTTTCTTTAAGAAGTTGGGTTATTAATTTATCTAGATCGATAAATTCTCCTTGTTCATTATATACTATTTTTTTTAAAGTTTCTTCTAGAGTTTTTGATTATATTTCTGTATAAATATCTTTTGAACTTCCTTCTTTTGGATTATAAACTTCTTTTGTTATAATTTGTTTTTTTTTAGAATTCTTTATTTTCTTTATTGATAGTTTTTGAATTTCTATTAATTAGAATAGTATCATTAGTGTAGTCATGTGCTTGGTGTCCTAGTTGTTTACATTTCTAACATTCATTTTGAGGACATTTTCTATTGACGTGGCCCTGTTGGTTACAAATTTTACAAATAAAACAAGATTTATTTTTCTTATATTCTTTTTTATCAAAGAAGTTTTCTTTAAGAATTGGTTTTCTTAATTGACTTAATAGAAATCTTTTTTGACAATTATAATTCCTGTTGGTTAAAGCTCCGCATTTTTTGATATTTATTATGATTTTTTTCTTGAAAATAGACTTTCTTTTCTTTAGGTCCTTGAAGTCTAGAGCATTCATGATCTTTTTCAACTAAAATTTCATATTCAAGACAGAATAATTAAAGGTCTTGTTCCTGTTCTTGATTTTTGGATCCTTTAATAACTAATACAAAAGTTTTTTTTTCTTTTTCTTTATTATTTCTTTGGGATTGTTGTTCAATATTTGGAGTTTTCATAGTAACAAATTTTTGATTTTCTTGCCTTTGCTATTCATTGATCTTTTGATTTTTCTTTAATTTCTATTCTTCAAATTCAATCAATTCGGTTTGATCAGGATGGCTTTCTTTCAAATAGTCCAGCCATTTGTTTTGGGTTTAGTAAGTTGGCAAATTTTACAAGTCTTAGATTCTATTTTAGTATTTCAGAGTTTCTTGTTAAGGTTTGTTTTCAGGATTTCTTAAGATTTATCCATTATGTTTTGGATATCCTTTTGATCATTTAAATGAAGTTTCTTTTATAGAAGTTCCTTATCTTGGATTATTATTGATCAACAATAAATTTTTATTCTACATCATCACTGTTACTCATATGATCTAGTGATTGTAGATTATTTATATAATCTGTATTATATAAACATTCTAGAAGCACATCTTAGATGGTTTTGTTTTTATTCTGTCTTTTCCAAATTAACTTATTTAGACATGGTTGTAGATTTTTCTTATCTCTATTTCTAGATGGTATAGCGTCTTTAAACATGTGTTAGTATGCTTCTATACCATTTGTATACATTACTTTAATCAATTCTGTTTTAGGATTATAATCTATTTCAGTCATTTCCTTACTATGGTTAATAGTATGATGTTCCATTTCAAGTTTTCCATAAATATTTTGATATCCTTTCTATATATCTGAGTATATAATTGATTCTGGATGCATATATTTCTAAATATAGTATATCAAGGTATCTTGTGTTCTATCTTTTATGATTGTTGCAAATAATTTCTTTTCTGGAGTTCTTTCTACTCCGCCGAATACCTATATGGCTATTCCGTCCTTCTTTTTGTATAATTATGACTTATCTATTTCTACAATAATTTCAGGTCCATATTGGTACAGTCTACCCTCGTTTATATCAACCTATTTAAATTCGTTTAAATTCATGTTGATAGTGATATTAACAAGGAATTATAATAAAGTTGATATATATGAGGGAATTTTAATATATAATAATTTGTAAAACTTCATCTTATAGCTTTAGGTTGATATTAACGAAGTTGATATTAA